AGTTGGAGCTGGAGTGCTCGTTTTTTGAGTTGGTGGTTGAGTTATTTGTTTTGGTGTGGTCGGACGTTCTCGTGTTGTTGTAGTTGGTGATACGGTTCTTACTGTCGTTGAAGCTCGCGTGGGCACGTAAATAGTTGTGGAGGGACCTGTTGTTGCTTTGAAAAACGTTGTTGGGATACTGCTTGTTGTTCCATAGCTTGTTGTAGGAATTTTTGTTTTTTCTGTATAACTTCTTTCCGTTGCTGTTGTTGCTGGTGTTTGTGGCTTAATGGAAGGCGGTAGATAAGTTTGAATTGGCGTTTGAGTTATTAGTTTTGATGTTGTTGAAAGTTTCCCTGTTGTCGTAATTGGTGGTCTTCCGGTTTTTATAGTTGGAACTCGGGTAGTCGTTAAATACGCAGTCGTCTGCGCACCTATTGTTGCTTTATAAGTTGTTGCAGGAGCTATCGATGTTGCTCTGTATGTTGTGTTAAATACAGTTACTGTAGGAATACGTGCAGTAGCTGACGTCTGCGTTCTTTTGGTGGGCGGTAAATAGGCTGGCGGTTGAGTGCTGATTTTCAAAGTTTGTGGCTCAGTAGCTTTTTGTTCTTTTGCGGTCGGTCTACGTGTAGTAACGGCAGGCGGTTTTACTGTCTCTGTAGCTGAAGTTCTTTTTGTTACTAATGGAAATTGCAAAGAAGAAGACTTAGTAAACAAACTACTGGACCGTTGTGTTGGTGGTGGGTATGTGAAAAGTATTGACGGTGGTGAATAATTGTAACCCTCAGCATCTTTGATCTTTATCTAAGGTTTTAGATTAACAAAAACAATTACTAATGGAACATGAGATGGAGGCTTAAAAAGAAATGATGAACATATTACTTGCAAATTGTTGGCAGTATCCGCACAAGTCCCAAAGACGCAAAAGGTCACAAAAAGAAGTGTTTTCTTCTGTAAAAATATTAAACATCCTATGAAATTTTTTTTGCATTAACATTTTTAAAGAAATAGTAAACATTTTTTTTTTTTAATATCTGGATATTTTCTACCAGTTGACCACTTTTCTTCGTTTACGATCTAAATTAAAACCATGAAGATCTTAATGTATTTTTCATTATTTGTATATAATATCTAAATAATAATTATTCATA